ACTGTCTTTTCTTTGACCCTTCCTTTCCAGTTTTTGAAGATAAAGCAGGAAATAATCTTCTCTGAAGATACTTGATAAAAATTCCCAAAACAATTAAACACATGCTTCCACTTCATTGATAAAAATTTACCGCAGTTTGACACCTGGGTCTAGTTCAGCTGGCGAATGAGCTGATTGATGCGTTCACCTCGATAGCCAGGTGTGCCCATCTCCTTGAGGAAGCCCACTCTATTTTTGGTAGCATGTCGGGCCACTGAGAGGTGGAAAGGGCGCAAGAACCATGAGATCTCCTGGAAATGCTTCCCTGGGAAGGCAGTTTCATGAATGAGGTCTTCCAAGCAAATGACGCCAAATTTCCCCAGGTGCTCCTCAATCACTGTGTTGTCTATCAGAGGGATGGTCTTATTCTTGACCTTGGCTTGTCCACATTTCAGAATGAGTTCTCGAACAGACTTCAGATTTGGAAATCCCCAGGTCACATAAGGTTCCACTATACGCAGCATTTTTAGGTTCTGGGGGGTGACTTTTACAAAGACACCACTAAAAATTTTCTTTAGGCGAAGTCTTGCAATGGTTCTCTGCACCAATAAACTCACTCCATCAATCCTTTCGATGCGTACAACAAAGGCCAAGGAATGTTTGTCTGGCAATTCCAAGGCATGAGGTTTCACTTCTAGTCGTCCGAGACGCACCTTGTCACGTTTCTGCCGCCAGGAATCATGCAGGAATGATTCCAGTCGCTTAAACCTGAGCCCTTTTCCTTTCCTCTGCTCCTTCTTTGCCAAAAGTGCCTGCTTTGCCTGGGTGGCTTTGAGGGCTTGATAAGCCTTCCTCTTTTTCAGCAGATTTTCTGGAACCAAAGGGATTTTTCTTTGCTCTTGCTCCGCCATCTTTCTAGTGGTGCAGCTACTCTAAAGTAGCTATTTCTAAGTCAAACTATGAACATCGAAAGCTTTGCCTTTTACTAGTAATAATTCATTTGGAGTTGTTTTTATAAGTCTTTGTCTTGGGAAACAAATGATTTCAATTAACTAATTGTAATATATGTAGTATAATGTACAAATACAGGGTCAGAGAAAATGTGAAAGCGAAGTCAAGAAATCAAAGAAAGCAAAGTTGCTTACATACAAATCTTTAGATGCTATATAGTTACAGCAGTTGAGTTGCAGAGTGACTGTATGTTTTCCTGGTGGACAAAGTGAAAATGAAAATATGACTGGTTGAAGATTTCTCTTGTGCATGTGAAAAAGCAAACCCTGCAAAAAAAATAACTCTCACCAAATAAGCATACAATAACTTCCGAAAAAAGAGCAAAAATTTTCTTACCACTGAGAAACCAAGACAAATCACTCCAGTAGCACATAAAGGGAAAGTTTACATGGGTTCATTTCTCTTAGCCACTCTTAGTTAAAAAAAAAAAAAATGCCAGAAATTAAATCAATAAAAACAAACATTGAGAAGGCCATACATTGACCCAGTAATCATGAGACTTTCTTAGAGTTGCATTCAATACAATAATAAAATGTATTAAAGTAAAAAAATTCTTTTAAATTTTTAAAATAAATTTTCTTCAAAAGTGATCACTTCATCATTGGTGAACATTTGAAATGATATAAATTAGCTATTTTTAGGATAAATACCAAACTACACAAATACCTCATTTATAAAGCCATTAAAATTTTCTAGTAATTTTCTTATTCAACAAATATGTATTGCTCTCTGATACGGTTTGGCTGTGTCCCCACCCAAATCTCATCTTGAATTGCAGTTCCCATAATCCCCATGTGTCATGGGAGGGACCAAAGGGGAGGTAGTTTAATAATGGGGACAATTACTCCCATGCTGCTGTTCTCATGACAGTGAGTGAGTTCTCGTGAAATCTGATGGTTCTATAAGGGGCTTTTCACCCTTTTGCTTAGCATTTCTCCTTCCGGCCATTCATGTGAAGAATATGTTTGCTTCCCCTTCTGCCATGATTGTAAGTTTCGTGAGGCCTCCCCAGTCATGTGGAACTGTGAATCAATTAAATCTCTTTCCTGTATGAATTACCCAGTCTCAGGTAGTTCTTTATAGCAGCATGGGAATGGACCTATACACCCTTATTGTGTATTATATTTTCCTGGGCATTGACAATCAACTGAAGGAGATGGAGACAATGTTGCATCCCAGAGTTCCCCATTTTTCTTGGTGTTGGGAAGTGGGGGTATGAAAAAATGAAAAGGTAATTAGTATAACAGATATTAATTGCTATGATGATAGAAATAAAGTGTGCTTTCAGAGGAATTAGGCACTGCCATTTAATGGAATGGAATTAATAACCCAATGTGTTAGTTTCCTATTGTAGCTGTAACAAATTGTTACAAACTTAATGGCTTAAAAAAACACAAATTGATTCTTTTACAGCTCTGAGTTCAAAAATCTAAAATGGGTTGGCAAGGCTGCATTCTCTCTGAAAACTCTAGGGAAAAATCTGTTTCCTTGCCTTTGCTAGCCTCTAGGGACTGCTTCTACTCCTTGACTCATGGCCCTTTTCTCCATTTTCAAAGCCAGCAGGATAACATCTTCAAATTTCTGTCTATCTTTATCTATACTTTCATAGTCACATCTTTCTGTAACTGACTGTCCTGTCTCTTTCTTGTTAGGACACTTGAGGTTACATTGGAGTGACCCAGATAACCCAAAATAATCTCTTCATCTCAAGATTTTTATATTAATCACATCAGGAAAGTTCCTTTTGCCATGTAAGGCAACATATACAAGGGTTCTGGGGATTAGAACATGAATATATTTTGGGGTCATTATTCTTCCTACTACATATATATGTATAGGAAATACACACATTAAATATCAAATAATGAAGAAAAAATATTATTAGAAAGATAATATATTATTCAATAAATGATATTTTGAGAGTTGATAACCTATTTGAAGAGAAACCATCTATTTAGATGCTTATCTTCCAAATTAATACCAGAGTAATAATTCCACATGAGAATCTTCTATCTCCACAGTATTTCACTGACCATAAACAATAATGGGAATGGCTTCCCCTAGAGTTTCATAATGTCACTTTAAGCAAATGACCACAAAGCACTTTTATATGGCAGCTGTAAAAAAATCATAGAATTCTTCAAGGAATGCATTCATAAACTTATCATGATCTTGCAATTATGCATGTGTTATTGGTAATTGTAATTTATGTCTTGTTTTTAAATATATAGCATGCTTAATTTTATAAGAAACCTTTACATGAAATGATAGGTATTCTAATGTCTCATTTAGTGGAGTTTGGTAACAATTTATAATTTCCTACATAGTAGCTTAAGTAAAATATTTTACATATATGTAATGGAATATTTTGCAGTTATTAATATAACTTTACAATATGTTTGCACAGAAAACACTTAAGTGATATAATCAGCATAGAAATTTCATATATTGGAGACTTTGTTTAATCATAGCTGATTGTCCACACATATTTATCTCTTCTCTACCTGTACCCCACCAAATTACAAAGATAATATATGAATTTGCTGCTACAATGCAAATATTTGAATTAATAAATGTAATAAAATTTCAATAAATGGAAGACAGATGGGAAATGGAAGCTTCACGAATAACTCAGGAAAGTAGAGAGGAAGGAAACTCAAGGGTCAGATTTCAGACTGTTTCTTAGGTCTTTGCATGGTTTTATTAATTCAAAGTATCCAGATGAAGCTATCTGTGATGGTTAATGTTAAATGTCAACTTGATTCGATTGAAGGATGAAAGGACTGTTTCTGAGTGTATATGGGTGTTTATGGTTGTTGCCAGAGGAGATTAACATTTGAGTCAGTGGACTGGGAGAGGAAGACCCACCTTCAAGGTGGTTGGGCACCCTCCAATCCTCCAATCTGCTGCCAGCACAGCTAGAACAAACAGGCCAAAGAAGGTGGAAGACGCTGATTTGTTAAGGGCCTTCATTTTTCTCCCTTGCTGGATGCTTCCTGTTCTGAACATCAGACTTCAGGTTTTTAACTTTTGAACTCTGGGGCTTACACCAGTGGTTTGCCAGAGGCTTTCGGACCTTCAGCCATAGACTGAAGGGCTGCATGGTCAGCTTCCCTACTTTTGAAGTTTTGGGACTCAGACTGAGCTTCAGACTCAGGCTTCTCTGCTCCTTAGCTTGCAGATGACCCGTTGTGGGACTTCACCTTGTGATCATGGGAGGCAATTCTCCTTAATAAACTCCATTTCATATATGCATATATCCTATTAGCTCTGTCTTTCCAGAGAACCCTAATACAATTTCATTTTTTCAAGTTTAGGACACAACATTTAGAAACAGTTGGAAAGAAAGAGGGAGGTCTTTTATCTGACCTCCTGGGTTTTGTAGTCGGAGGTGTGTTCCTGCTCTGCTTACACCAGTCTTTAGTAGCCCCATAATAACAAATCTACACTCTTCATGTAAAGGTTTTCTATTCTCTTCCTTAGTTACCATCATTTGTTCTCCCTGAATTCCACCTTGATGTGCCACAATCCACCACTTCTTTTAAGTTCTAACCTACAGAATTTCTTTGATAAATGTTTCTCTCTCTCCTAGTTGTTAGAATTAGCTAATTATTTTTATCCTATGACTCTTTGTAGTTCCTTTATAGCATACTAATCCGACTGTTTATTTTAATCTAATGTGTACATCTCTAGCTTCCATTCTTCTGAAAGTCAATGATACAACTTTGTTCTTCCTCAACGTATCATATTAATGCTACCTAAATTCAATCTAAAACAAATCTATTATAAATCTACAAAACACAGTAGTGTAGATAAATGAATTAATTGGATTCTATTTCCATACTTCATTTGAATTGGCAGATTGTATTTCCTATTATTCATTTTTTTCACAAACCATAATTCATTTATTTCACAGGATCCTTGGGGTGTTGCTTCACCAGCTGGAAACCTCTGTGGCTAGTGGTGCCTTTGCCCGAGTTTTTACTCTGATATACTGGACTTGTTCCACTCACTAGGCCTGGCAGCCTGCCCTCAGCTCACACTACCGGCCCAAATCTCATGTCTGCCAAGAGCGAATCGGTCACAGAGTGGTGAGTGGTGCTTGAGAGAGCAAGCATTGGGCCCAGCCACTGCTCATAGCCAGGCATGCAGCTGCGGTGGAGCAGGCAGCCCCAGCCACTGGAATGCGCACTGGTTGCCTGCAAGGCTGTGACTGGACCAGGCATACCGCAAGCAGCTTCCACAGCTGGCAACAGGGAACATAGTGGCACCTGGAAGCTTTGAGATTCCAAGGAATGGCAGAGCCCCAGAGAGGGTGTCACAGACCTATCTCAGGGAGTTCCTAGATCTGGGCTCCCCAAAGGGTCACAGCTCTTCTCTCGTCCCCTTGTCACCTGCAATGTGGTGAACAACAGGGACATGTTTCAGCCCTGTTTTTGTTACAGCTCTTTTAGCCCAGCCCTACCATTCAGCAGGTCCTGATTTCTTGTCCTGGATCCAGGAAGAATGAGGTATGTGAACAAATGGAGTATGAGCAAAGTGAACAGGAGCTTTATTGAGCAGTAGAACAGCTCAACAGAGACCTGCAGTGGGTAGCTCCTCTCTGCAGGCAGGTCAGCCTGTTGAGTGTTCAGTTCTCAGCAAAGATGAGACCCTGGAGTGAGTAGCTTCTCTCTGCAGCTGGTAGTCCCAAGATCTGTTCAGCTCTCAGCTGAGAGGAGACTTTAGAGTGGGTAGCTCCTCTCTGCAGTTGACCAACCCCTGCAGTGCTCCAGTCTGGATGAGTCTGGGAATTTTTAAGGGTTTCAGAGTGGAGGCAGTGCATGCCGATTGGTTCATGAGTGGCCATGGGTGGGCCCAGAAAAAGCACTATTAGTTCTCACTTCAGTTCATGGGACTGGTAGCCTAACCCCCGTGCT